GAACCGATAAGGCCGCCGGCGCTATCGGCGATGGATGGTGGGCCAATGAGGCGAGGTTCTCTGCTGAGCCGCTCCTTGACTGTGAATAGAATGGACTGCTGACACCCGACGGGATTGCTGGGGTTTGGAAGCCAGAGACATCCACATCCTCGTAGAGTTGGTCCAATACATGCTCGCCATACCCCGGTGGTGCTACCAGCGCGTTCTCCGTGGATGGAGCGGAGCTGCCTTGGTTCTGGCTCAGCAGGTTGCCCTGTTCGTCAAAAGGAATGTTGGGTGAGATGAAAATTGATACAGGAAGGGTGGCACGGAGCTGTAAAGTTTTACGTTAGTGATTGATCTCACACCGCCACCGACTGACAAATCCCAAGAGGTTCCGTCCGCACATGTTCCACGTCTCAACTTTTCATACCTCTGAAATGTGGCCGTCGGGGTTCTTCAGTGCCACAGTCAGCTTAATTTTATGCCTGACCTTGATGCCATGATGGTTCAGATCTTGAATACACTGACGGAGTCGCTTGGGAAGAGGCAATGGTTTAACCAAAGCCCAACCCTCCTGACCAGTATCTTGTATCATGTCTTGCCAATGTTCCTCCCGGTTCACTTCGAATCGCCACGTCGCCACCTCTCGCTCGGTGCGGTATTCTCGCATGCTGAGACCTGTTGCGCCTTGGATCCAACAGTCGCGAATCTCGATCATTTTTGCCGTAATATCTCCAAGTTCCAGGCCTTTCAGTAGGGGGGTAAATCGCATTTCCATGTTGATGGTGCCGCCGAATACGACCGCCTTTTGCGGGATGATGATGGAGTAGTCCACCTTGTTGGGCCAAATATTCTCGACGCTCATGGCATGCAAAAACTCCAAAGCGCCGGGCTCCAGAGTCCTAATGATGCGTAGGTGCTTGTACGCGTGCAAGTCGTATGCGAGCTTGCCACGGCCGACAGTCGCCTTTAATCTGTAGGTGATGGATGCTTCGGGGATGCCCTCTACGCTCTCTGCGGTATCTCCCGGTAGCATAAACTCGAAGGGGTATTCGTAGTTGCCGGCAGGAAGAGTCATGCTCTTGCCGTGGGTGCCGACAAAGGGTTGCCATCGATGGTCGAGAATAGTGGTGGTCTTGTCAACTTTTTGCCCCGAAACGCCGGGAGCGGTCGATCTATGGTCAGTCCATCTGTGCAGGGAATCCAATGTTAGACCTTTGAATTGCGGCAGGGAAGGTAACAATTTTGCTAGCATCAAGAAAGAAGCATACGATAAGCGCAAGGTGCCCACGAGGCGCAAGTGAATGTCCTCGATGCGCAAGGGGGACGAGAGGCAGAGAACCACGACCCCCTTGAGAAGCTGACCTGAAGACTCATGGTCATTTCCTCGAAAGACAATGAAGTCTTGGTCCAGCCTGTGGTTGGAATCATGTTAGCATGCTGGACAGATGACCAATGGTCCGGGATGGCTTGGCGGCACCGAAAGAGGGAAGGAAAAAAGGCTGATTGCCAGGGTTTGCTTGGAGGGGTGACTAAAGTGCCACACGGACGAGAAGTGTTGAGTACACAAGACTCTCCCATGGCCTCGGCATCACAAGGAGCAAACTCACCGGATATCAAACAGGCTGTAGCTGTTTCGCCCCGTCACGGATGCAAAGGGCTTGAACGACGGCATGGTCTGGGTGCCAGTGCACTATGCAGGCAGGCGAGCGACAGCGCAACTGGCGCCTGCAAGAGACGAGGGATGCCTTTTGCAAGGTGAAGCAGAAACAAAGATGGGAGACGCAGCCGACCAAGCCGCAGGGAGGAGCAGTATCGCGTTTTTTCTTTGGGCAAGACAGAAAAGAGACAGCAGACAAGGAATTGAAATGCAAAGAGAGAGGAGAGCGAAGAGCGAAGAGTGAAGAGCGCAGCCCGCAAGAGCAGAAGGCAAGGCGACGAGGCCGGCGGCCGAGTTGGTGGAGCCGGTTGTATTATTTCAGGAAGTCGACTTTTTGAGGCCAACCACATGCGAACTGGACTGGGACCGTCGTATCGTCTGGTCGGTCGGCTGTCCGCCTTTGGCAGTAACGGTGCAACAGTGGTCGCAACACTGGTAGCGGTACCACTGTCACCGCGCTGCCCGCTTCGCTTCAAGGTCAACAATCTGGTCTGGTCGTCCGCTTCTCCTCGCTGCTGCTGCTGCTACAGCCGGTCGACTCACGAACCCTGCTGAATCGGGTCAACGAGCCCTCTCCACTCTGGACCCAGATTTGCCAGAGTCACACTCTGCTGTCGCCAGGCCCTGTGTACTCCGTGCTCCGTACGCCAAACACGGCTGGTACACCCAAGCTGCTAGGCACCGTGTGCTTGCGAGCATGCACACGTACCCACGCGGTATCATCGCAGGTGGCCGATACAGGTGGGGCCGCCCTCTGATGCGCTCGAAGGCTGGTTTTAGCCTTGGCCACCCAAAGGGCCGCCTTTCCAGAACGTTGACCTGTCAATTCCCCTGCCGGGCCCAACCTTGAAACCGTCAATCCCCATCAAGGAGAAGCACCAGTGACTCCAACGGTCCAAGGGCCGGTTGACGCCCGAGGAGAGAGAATCCAGTGGTCCAAAAGTTAAAAGTTGCGCAACGCGCTAGTGTCCACCAGCGTGCGATTCAACTCTTGCTAGATACCAACGTGAACGACTCGCGCTCTCAAGGCAATGATGCGGCGGCGGCGGCGCCCCAGTTGTTGTGGCGCCTGGCGTCCACGTTGGCCGCTCGGGTCTGGTAAGACACTTGTCGCAAAGCAGCCAACAGCCACGCCAAGGTAGGTGAGTGTGTGTGTGTAGATGGAGTCGGCGAAGAGTCTTCTGCCGGGCGATGGATGGAAATGAGCAAAATTGTTCGATGGCTGTTGGGCAAGTGTTTGCGGCCATGCAACAGCATATAAGTAGAGTCACGATGTTTCTTTGCCGGCGCGTGTTCGGTATGGGTGACAATGGAGCGAACGAACGCCTCAGGGCGGGAGCACGCGCCTTTGGTATATTGATACCAAAGGCGAAATTTAGAGCCAGTCCCCAAAAGGGGGCAAAACAATCCCGCCAGATGAATCGGGGTCTTCAGGGACGGTGACGATTTAATAGTAAATTCCAAGTTACCATGGCATTACGAAAGTACTCGGAAGGTACTCGATGCTGTGTGCAACCGCTTCACGGCCACGAGGTACCTCTCTCGTCCTGCGTACGGCAAACTGCACAACCTCCGACTGCCGATTGTCACGAGTCCCGTCCTCCCAAGAACTCCCGACGGGCAACCACGCGGGCCCTTGCCAAGCTGTCAAACTAGCTGCACCCATTGATGGGAAGAACAAAGACACGGACACACATTTGTCGCGCCTCCCTTTGACGTGGAACCTCGCCCGAACCGAAATACTACATACAGGATGGGCTTTTATGCGCATGTACGGAACAGTTACTCAGATGACATGTTTGCCTGCCGTCACTACCCATGATGATTGTGCAGACTCGCATGCAGACAAACATTTCGGCAGTTCCAATGTTGCAAAATGCATCAACTCTGCAAGTCTGAATCCGAATGTGCGCACAACCACAACTCGCCGCCAGATCCAAGGTGCAGCCGAGTAATACACGGTGTACGTGCGGTCCGTCACAAGGTGGGACAAGGACCGTTGACCGCTTGAGATCCTATTTAGCCCTGCATCACAGTCGGCGCAGTAATTGAAGCCAACGGCCAACCGCTCCAACTTCAATCCCGCTCGCCCCGGCTCCCGGCTCCGGCGTCCGGGCCCCGGGGAAAGCATCTTGCGCACCGCGATAACCACAAACAGGATGGAAACTAATAATACGTGAAGTGGAAGCACGCACTTTACCGGCCACGCGTGAAGGGAGCGCTGTCCAAGGGCTGGCTCATATCATGCCAACCAGGTCCCTTCCGCCGCGGGTGCTCAACAAAATCTGCCGCGGATTGAACCCGATGACATGTTGTTGTCGTTATTATCACGCGGTGGGTAAAGGAAAGTCCACCCGGGTCAGCAAGTCACAGTCCATGTTCTTATCTGACGGGCTTGGAGCTGTCTTATGTATCTAGATAAATGGCAAAAAAAAGTGTACGATTTGACAACTTTTTTTTATCACCGTAGATCGTATCACGATCCCTGCAACCCTGTTAATCAAAGATGGAACCCGCATTCCGCGCTGTGGGTCCAGGGCGTTGAGTTGATGCGTTGGCTTGTTGCAAAGTCGTGAATCCATACGGAGCACGGAGTAATAGCTTGAGCCATTTGCGTGTTGACCGCCATGACAAGATTTCGTACATGGCGCAATGCGCGGCTTTTTCAGGTGTTAGTTTGATGGAGCGGGTGCTCAGCCCCTCGGCGCTCTATTTTTATTTTATTTGTTTATTTATTTTTTGTTACATAGGACGAATGATATTTATGCATTATACGGAGTACATAGCAGGTCGTCGCATCGCACACTACCTGGTTGATGGCGTCAGGGTGGACAACATAAGAGGCACCAGATATTGCGAGATGCCGCTGCTTAACGAGTGCTTACGAATGCGTCAAGAAACCGTCATGTTGGGAGGCGTATTTTTCAATTTGAAGCCACCGCGAGGACTCACTTCCCACGGTATTTTGACTCGATAGCTCACCACGAACCAAGTCACCGCCTTGCTCGTCATCGGACTCGGGTCCGTCAGGTTTTGTCTTTCTGGAAGCATTCCTCGCCACTGCGGACCCTGACCAAGCCTCACCCTTGCCACTCAGGGCCAGCACCAAGGCAGGGCCAACCAACACCCTGGACCAAGCCTCCTTCCTCAGATGCTCAAACTGCGCCACTTCCCAGATGGACATTTAGGCTGCTATCTACGTCGTCTCCAACGAAACATCGGCTATTTGTTGCAGAGCGGTAAAAAAAAAAAAAAAAAAATTCCCACCATTGCACAAGTACGGTTCTGCCGTTGGGATGGGCCATGCTCGCCGCGTAAAGAAAAAAAAAAAATCAAGGTGCCAGGACAAAACAACCCTTTCCCAGCGTTTCGCTAGTTACGTCAAGCTAAACTCGACTTCTGTCTCGCCCTGAACATGTGAAAACCGGTTGCCGGAAATTTTCCATCTTCCCGTGCCGATCGTATGGATGGGCCGGCAACTGGGCCCAAGGGTCCTAGCTTACAGCAGACTATTTTACATGTATAACATACGACCGCTCGCTCATACTAGTCACTACCGTGTTCTACCTACCTAGGTATGTGAAGTATGTGCCTGAATATCTCTCCCCCGCTGGACCATCTTCCAGGATCTGGTATCCACTTCCCTGGTCATGGTGGGCAGATGGAAGTAATGGTTGTGGATTGTAGAGATGACTCGGGCAGATTCGGACTACTCGACCGGTGACATTGAGGTGCCATGTGCTGGTTCTGTTTCTGCATTCGCTGGCCTGAGAATTGTTGAGATCGAGGCCTCAGCACAGCCAGCCCACGCGGCCCGTCCAGCCCGACGAGATGGTGGCAGTAGACTTCCCTGTCATGGACATCTGCCCTCTTCACAATTGTGTTAAGCATAGTGAGAAAGACTGGCACTCTCATCACATGCCGTTCGGGAATCGGGATGATGCGAGCCAACAAGCGGCGGGCAGACACCATTTTCATCTCGGTAGTTGCCGGACGCATTGACAGCTTGTCGCAAGGCACCACCACGTCAGAGTCGATGATGCCCTTGGCCAAATATCACGTGTTGGTGAGTCAGTCCCAAAGTGTTTGTGACGCCACCACTTCATTAGCTATAGCAACGTGCAAGGGGTATTAGAACACCATTCACAATACACTTCAATGTCAAGCATTGGCTGCGCCGGCCGGGCTCTACATATATCCAAAACCACCACCACCAGGCCTGTTGTGTCCCCCGTTCTATCCCGTATAGATTCTACTCACCCTTCTCCCCGTCTAGACTGACGTCCCAGGTCTGGTCCATGTTCTGACGTGTCCTGTTTGTGCTGTTAGCCGCCGGCTGACATTTGGCATCTGATTCCACGTTTCATGTCTTTGACTCACCATCTTTGCAGCTTGTGATAATTGCCTCCTCGGTAAAATCCAACCAGCACACGGGATGAGTGTCAATTACCGTCGTCTAGATAGCTTGTTAGCATCAATTACTGATACCATTCATATCTTTGCATCAAGAATGGCTCACTAAAACTGGCGGCAAGATGGGGATTCGAGATCTTGGTTCAACAGGATGCGAAATTCCATCACCATACTCGTCTGCCTCATACAAAGAGTTGGATCTCAGTAGAGTGCCCAGAGGACTAGCTGCCTCACTCCGTGGCGAAATGCCAGCAGGACCGGAAACGGAGCCACGTTGTCTTGCGGAAGTCTTCAACACATGTCAGCTTCCCGAGCAATGCATGCATCCCACTGGTTTCAGTCACGACTCTTACCTTTGGCCGATGGAGCATGCCAACATTGAAGTCCCAAAGACACAGGCGGCCGTCGTCACCAACGCTTCCAAAGCGGTAGTTACGCTCGTCACATTTCCAAAGGTCAAAAGCCAGCGATGATACCCAAGACTGATGACCCTGACACCTCGCCACCAACGCAGAGTCTGCAGCCGACCAAATCGATATCAAGTCGTCCTGGCCGCCGGTTAGGACGTACTTGCCGTCCGGTGTCCAGCAGACACATGTCAGACCTCCGTAGTAGGAGAAGAACAAGCCCAGTAGTCTAAGCATCCATCAGCACCAAACCCGCGGCCCAAAGCGTATGAGGGGACAGCTTACTCCTCTTTAAGGTAGTCTATCAATCTCAGAGTTCCATCCTCGGATACCACCGCCAAATGCCGGTTGTCAGGTGAAAAAGCAAAAGAGTTGATGCGTTGATTTGACAACTTCCACGCCGCAACAGGGTTTGTCTTTTGGTTCTGCGAATGCACGGATTTAGCAATATGCATCTTGGTCCCAGGATTTACTCCATTCTGGCCATGACCAGACTCGCTACCATGCACACTACGCTCGTCGTCCTCGGGGGTAAACTGCGAGTCGTCCTTTTCCTTGTCGTAGACAACCAGAGAGCCACCCATGTGTGCCGCCAAAAACAAGTTCTCCGAGCCTGGAATCCACTTGATATGTGTCACGGGGGTGTTGTTGATGACGCCCTGGGGACGCGCATTAGCCTCAACACAGCTTATTGACCAGACGTGCCACCTACATTCTTGTTCATGCGTGTATATCTCTGTGAAATGGGTTCCCACCAGATAATTTCCCCGGTTGAGAAACCCATAATCACGTCAATGTGCGACGCTCCTTTGGTCACCATATTTACGTCATGGCACAGACAATGCGCCTTGGTGAACAGAATCTTGGTGAAGTAGTCTTGCTGTTGACTAAAGTCAGATGCGGTTTACATATACGGGACACGCGGCAAATTACCTTGTTTGGAGACGACAAATCCAGCCACTGGAAAGCGCGGTTGATGTTGGCAAAGGCAAAGATGCCGTCGCCAGGTCTATCCGTCATTCTTCTTGATAAGCTCTCATTGACAATAACTCGCGAAATAAAGGACGAATTACTCTTGGTCACATTGTTCTTTGGCTTCTTTCGCTTATTTACGTCTTTAGTTTGTGACGGCACAAGCAACGAGTTTCCCTCGCCGAATGCCGGGGTGAAACCAAGGGTCGCCGAGTTTGGCGCATCGCTCGTAGATGTTCCCCGACCATCTTCACTGCTCATTCCGCCCTCGGTAGAATACCTAGCATCCCCAGACTGGTCCTGCGAACTAGCTCCGCCTAGTGACAGCGTTGTTGCAGATGGCCCTCTGTAGAAAAATGGCGGCGGCCGGGACTGAATACGGACGAGTGTCATTTTCGTACCCACCGATGCAGGTTGCGGGTTGGTGGCTAACGGGTTCGGATTGACGATGGGGGCCTCGGATGGATGTGGAGGAGGTGTTGCAAGGTGTAAGTCTTCCTTGAGGACGTAGGTGCCTTGATGTTTATTAGCATAGCCATGGGGAAGCCATGGGGAAAATAGCAAATGACGCCGGTTCGTCCGGTGAAACTCACCTTCTCCCACCAGAAACTGCCATTCAGGTCCGGTAGGGTTCGAAATGGTATTGTTTGTCTCAATCATAGGCACGATGCCTGTGATACCAGTTGCGCTGTACGGGCCACCGATGGGATATCGGGGCGGAGGTGGTAGAACACTACAATTGTCAGTTGCGAGACGGTGGGCGAAGCGCAAAGATTGGGCAGAAGGATCTCGTGTCAGGATCATGGCACATACAACATGGTGACGGTACCAATCCGTCGCTGCGTGTGATGATACAATCAAAGTGCCGTCTCCTCGCTATCTGGTTGGCTCTCGAAGTTAGTTGTCTTGTTAAGTTGACTTGGTCGCCCCGTCACGGTCTCCGTCAAACGATGCCGTCGAGTAACGGTGCTATGCTGCGGGGAGTTTGTGACGTCGTTTGCGCAGGGCAGGTCAGAAGCCAGGTTGGATGACGGAATGGGCCGCTACCCCGAGATGGATCGAGCAAGTCTGAAGAAAGGTCGACAGTCGACAGCCAGGCGAGGGAAAATCGACAGTTGGCTCAGCCCTGGCTGCCCTTTATCCGGAACTGACTGGCCTGGGCAACCTGGGGTTTGCCTGCTCCGGTATTGGCATTGGTGTTGGGTCGGCTGGTGGCTCAAAGACTCGGCGTGCTGGAGAAGAGTGTGGGGTAAGTTGGAGCACTTGAGCGCTCAACTCAACTCCAGAACCAGCAGAGCGCGACCATTGTTCCGGTTGGGGGCCGTAACGACGGATTCGTGGCTTGGTGGCTTGGCGAGAAGCCAATTGGATGCCCTTTTTGGTCTTGTGTTGCAAAACATGGACCAACTCGGTCCCAACACCGACGAGCAGAACTATCACGACTCTCATGGTGACGGGAGGAGTGCAAGAAATCATGGAGGGCACTAGGGAGCAGCGCTGCCTACTACTTAGTAGGTACCTACCTAGGTAGGTAGGTAGGTAGACGGTTCAAACGTTGGTGCGAGCATGGACACATACACCGGGGTATTTCTCCTCATCGGCCTTTGTATTGCAAGCCCATCTTGCAGAGTAGCGACGTAGCACGCCACGTGAGAGATGAGAGGCAATGACATGGTGCCATGCAGGCAACCAGGGCATGCTTCGCGCCAGGGTCTGGTATTGATCGAAGATGCCGCTGGCAGCAGCTGTACTCCGTATTGGATTTCTTACGAGGCTGCTGCCAACGATTGAGAGAGACATGGAAGGCCCTGACGTCTGGTGGGACATTCTCGATAAGTTCGGTTCGGTTCGTCGCAGACCAGACGCTGCGAATGGACTGGCGTATTAGATCAGGGCTGCCAGGCGACATCAACACATACTGGTCTTCAACATTTGAATCATGGAATGCACCAGCACAAAGGACATGCTTGCCTGCCTAGCAGGCCCTCGATCGTGCCAGTGTCACCCCCACCCAGCCCCAGGACGCTGAGCCCAGTGACCATTGATTGACGAACCGCAACCCCCGCCGCTCGCTGGCTGGTTGGCCGACAATACTGCAGTACTCCGTACTCCGTACCACTGGCAGTGGTTCCACGACTGCCCAATCTCGCCCAATCTCATTCTAAGGCTTCTCGTGCAATTTAACATGGGGCCAGCCTCTCCCGAACCATTGGCACCGCTGCCACCACCCAGCTCTGTAATAAACGCGACGCCCGTCCTAGCTTCGCTTTCCTCTCTCGAGCGCCCTCAGATGCACCGTGTCTTGCCGGCAGAAATCAATCAATCAACACATCGGCTTGAACTTGTAAAATAGTGCAAAGGGGTTTCCTTTAGCCGTCGAGGACATGGCCTAGCCGTAACTTTGCATCCAACCGAGGTTGCCGTTGCCGTTGCATTTACGGAGTACCACGCACTGCTTTGCCTTCAAAGTTCTACTGAGCACAGTTCGTTCACCGACCAACTATGGCGACAGGTATGTATCACTGCCGAGAAGTTTTCTCACCGGCCCCATTGCCATTGGGAGCATCTCATCATCTCATATGCTAACACCAACCTCCATGCAGTTCGAATTTGCGTGTGCGGTGACGAGAGCACGGGCAAGTCCAGCCTCATTGCTTCGCTCGTCAAGGACCAGTTCATGAGCAACAAGATCCAGCCAGTCCTCCCCCAGATTACCATTCCTCCCAGCATCGGAACACCAGAAAATGTCACAACAACCATCGTCGATACCTCTGCCCGTCCTCAAGACCGAACCACCCTGCGTAAGGAGATCAGAAAATGCAACGTCATTCTCCTCGTCTACGCCGACCACTACAGTTACGAAAGAGTAGCTCTCTTTTGGATGCCATATTTCCGGTCTCTCGGTGTCAACGTTCCTGTTGTCCTATGTGCCAATAAATCAGACCTCGCCGGTCAGGGCAACACCCCTCAGATCGTAGAGGAAGAGATGTTGCCCGTCATGGCCGAGTTTCGCGAGATCGATTCCTGCATTAGAACCAGTGCTCGAGAACATAAGAACGTCAACGAGGTCTTCTTCCTGTGCCAAAAGGCCGTCACCCATCCCATTGCCCCTCTCTTTGACTACAAGGAAGGTCGCCTTAAGCCGGCTTGCGTAGCCGCTCTCAAGCGAGTCTTCTTCCTTTGCGACAAGGACCAGGATGGCTTCTTGAATGACCAAGAAATGCGGGACTTCCAGGCACGCTGTTTTGATAAGCCTCTTACCAGCGACGACTTGGATAACATTAAGTTGTCCATCTCCAAGTCCATGCCCGATGCGAACATGGAACGGGGCATTGATCAATCTGGCTTTCTACAACTGAACAAGATTTACGCCGAGAAGGGTCGGCACGAAACCATATGGATCATTCTTCGCAAATATCACTACACCGACAGCTTGAGTCTTGAGGACAAATTCCTCCACCCAAGGTTTGACGTTCCCGAGTACTGCTCGGCTGAACTGAGCCCTATTGGCTACAGGTTCTTTGTGGACTTGTTTCTGCTCTTTGACAAGGATAATGATGGAGGGCTGAACGACCAAGAGCTTGAGGCCTTATTCTCGCCCACTCCTGGCCTCCCGGCTTCTTGGGTCGACTCGTCCTTCCCTTCCTCCACAGTGCGCAACGAAGGTGGCCACATCACACTGCAAGGCTGGCTAGCACAGTGGAGTATGACAACGTTCCTGGAGCCAAAAACTACAATCGAGTATCTCGCCTACCTCGGTTTCGAATCCCCCAACGTCAAGGATGACATAACCGCCGCCCTCAAGGTCACCAAGTCCCGAAAACGAAGACGACGGCCGGGCAGAGTCGAAAGAAATGTGGTCCTCTGTTACCTCATTGGAGCTCCGGGAGCTGGCAAGTCCTCTCTTCTCGACTCATTTCTAAACCGACCATTCGAAGGGCTATATCACCCCACCATCAAACCCCGTCGGGCGGTCAACAGTGTGGAACTCCCTGGTGGTAAGCAGGTGTATCTCATTTTCGAGGAATTGGGCGAGCTCGAACCAGCCATTTTGGAAAACCAGTCCAAACTGGATGCCTGTGATTTGATTTGTTACTCTTACGACTCCTCCGATCCCGATTCCTTCTCCCATATCGTCGATGTGAGGTCCAAGTACCCACATCTGGACGAGTTGCCTTCTGTTTACACCGCTCTAAAAGCCGACAAAGATAAAACCACGCAGCGAAGCGAGCTCCAGCCTGACCAGTACACGTCTTCGCTCAGCATGAACACGCCACTTCACGTGAGCGTGACTTGGAACAGCATCGCCGAGCTCTTTGTGGCACTCGCCGAGACCGCAACCAACCCGAGCATGGGATTCCCCAAGACAGAAGAGGAGGCCCCGGATCGTACAAGCTTGTACTTGGCCCTCGGTGCTACTGCCTGTGCAGCCGTTGCTGCTGTCATGATTTGGCGTCGTTCAACAAACGCCGCATAAACCACCACTCAATACTGAACCCATACTATTCATCTTCACTCCAGCTACTTGAGCGTTTGACTACAGCGTTTGAGCTTATCTTAATCTTTCTCCCGAAAAAGAAAAAAATATTAACCGAGCGACACACCCCTCTTTATTAATACCCGGTGTAATTTTGGGGGTGCAACTGTATTACAAAAGCTGTTTGGACTTTATATCGAAATGCCGGGGATTGTTTTTTTATTGGAGACTCTGGGAAATTGTCTGCATGGCCAGGAGTTGTCACAAGTTGCTGCAGTTGGGGCAATCGGATTATGATACCCCCCCTACCCCTACGTCGCGAACTACAGGAAGAGTTTTCACAGTATATTCATGATTATAACGACAAATAAACAATCAGTATTTTTGGGTATCTTTGCATCTGTCTCCTCACCATGTCTATCTCTGATCGAATTCACCCCCAACGGCTGACACTTTGGCTTTGAAAACGCCAACATTGAGTATTTTCATATAAATTATTCTGCGCTTGCATGGAGGAGCTAAACTTGAAATTACACCTTGTAAAAGCAAAAACCAATGTAGAAGCTGGCAGCCTCCATCTCCTCCTCTGACACCAAAAGCGGTCCTCCACCTCGCTCTCTCACACCCATCCTCTCACTCAGGGGTCCCAGTTCTGGATCATCTTTCTCCGCTTCCCAGATCTCACTAAACGTTCTGTGGAACTGCAATTCGAGATTAAAGTCATCCGCCAACGCACGGAATGCCTCCCAAGGGACAACATATTCCGGGACTTCTTCTACAGCTTCGTCTAGAAAGAAGTTGTATTTCCAGCCGAATGCTGGCCTAAAAATGCCATCCTCGGGTGTCTTGCCGGGGAACCGGACGCGATATATGGAGTTGCCCCATTCGGCGGTAGGTTCCTCCTCGCCCTCTTCCAGCTCACCGTCTTCGGGTTCGGCCGGGGGTGGTGTGGTGGTAACACCGTCACCATCCTTCTCCTTCTTCTCTTTTTCTGCCCTCTTCGCAGCGGCTTTTTCGTTAAACGCGCGGACCTTCTCGCCCAGCACGTCCGAGTTGGGGATGCAACCGATGAAGCGCCCGCCTTTCTTGAGGGCTCCTGCGACGTTGCGCAGCATTGTGCGAGCGTTCTCTTCGGACTCAAAGGCGTAGTGCATTGAGAACATCATGGTGACGACGTCGAAGCCGCGCTTGTTCATGGGGGACGGGTCGAAGCCCACTTGCTGGACAATTTCGATGTCTTCAATGCTCTCGCGGTAGCAGTCTTTGACGTGGAAGCGGGCGTCAAACAGGCGAGGCGGTGGTCTGCGGTGAGAGCCGCCGCGGCCGCCACGGCCTCGCGAACAGAGGGTTCTATAGCGATCGCGGGCTTGCTCGATACTTACGTCGGCGGGGTCGAGGCCGACGTAGAGCTGGATTGGTTGCGGCGCCTGTTGCCATTTGTTGAGGTCACCGCCTTTTCCGCAGCCTATGTCAAGAACGAGGAGGTCTTTGCCGCTGGAGCGGCCCATTTCGCGGGAGCCCGGGGTGTGATCTTCATCGGGGGAGTAGCGCTGGATGATGCAGCTCTTGATCCAATTGTTAAATACACGGAGGCCCTTTATCTTACTGTCCGTCGTTCTCCACTGCCTGCCTCTCTCGGGCACGCTGTTGTAGTGTTGTCGGACGACATCGTGTACTCCTCTCATGTGGTTCTGCTCTGCGGCCGCTGCTTGTTGGGCGGCCTGCTCGCGCTCTCGCTCGATTTGGCGCTGCCGAATAGCCTCGCGTTCGGCTTCGGAGATGCGGGCTCTTGCTCCTGGGCGCTTTTGCTTGCGCGGCTGTTCGGATGGCGAGACGGCGCGTCTCTTGGCAGCTTGTAGGGAATTCGCGTTGTAAGGTTGGGGGAGGTCATCCTGCACCTCGTCTCGGGCTCGCTTATTGTTTCTGTGATGGGATGGTTCCCCATTACGAGTGTCGTCATCTCCATCCTGGTCGGGCATTATGAACTGCGTCCTCCGTCAGTGGAGGTTTCTTCGTTGCTTGGGCTATGGTCTGCTTTCAAAAATGTGTTGCGGAAAGTCAATGTCGGAGGCTGACCTCATGCGAGGTTGGATATCACAAGGCGGTTGTGGGGCCCAACAGCTGCAGGAAATCCGAGCACATCATCAGCAAGATCACGTAATTGCGCACAACGAGTCCCTATGGTACAGCAACAAACCCGGTAGCAAGACGTGCATCACTGAGTAGTGTCTGGGCGCGTGCTCCGTGTATTCGGTCAACTATGGTAAATCGTTCTTGTCCTCGTCGACGAAAGAAGTGGACTGCTTAGCTCGATCTCTAACAAGAATCGCCATGAACAAACTAGAAAATTCAGAGAAATAGCGCATACCAAGTGCCTTTTTTTTTAAGAAAAAAAAAATCTTTTTTTAACGAAAACACTGTATGAAATTTAAATAGAACCATCTTCACACTGATTATACTCCATCAATAATTCCAACCCCATGTAATATTGTGATTGTATCAATCCATCTGCCATAGCAAGCTTTCAATTTTTCCGAAAATTGCCAGGTCTAGGGTAGGTTTCTGGAAAGTCATGGGGAAGCTGTGCGTGTCCCGCTGAAGCCTTGTGTGTTCAGACGGGGCCCACCCAAGTCCATGTCCAGCCTTCCTTGTGGCTGCGATTCCAACAAGCAGCTCCCTCAAGCTCTCATCACCATCTCAATTGTCAAATCTGGAGTCTATTTCACGATCACTCGACTCGACGCCGGACCCTCCTCTTCGCACGTACGGACATAAACATAGCAGATCCCACAGTAACCTTCCTCTTCGTCGTCGGACTTGCCCGCCGCCGCCATGGGTTCAGATCCTCAGTACGCCAAATGGCCGTTGCTGCCGTTGTCGCAGCACGTTTTTACCCTGACAAATGCATATGCCTCGAAACCGGCACAAGAAGCAGCCGCTAAGGCATTGCAAGATGCAATCGCCGAGGATAAGATGGCTCCTTTCTATCGGTATTTGGCACACCCCATTGACGGCATTCTGAATGCTGTTGGCGAAGGTGGCGCCCTAGGACCCGGAAAGCCGTTAAGCAGGAAGTCTAGCTTGGTCGGCATGGTCGCCACCAAGGCATCGACAACAAGTGTTAATCTGCCGTGGGATGAGGCTTTGTATTCGAAGCTGAAGGAAGATAATGATAAAGAGTTGGCCGAGTTCCAGAAGGAGGAGGATGAGGCCGTTGAACAAGCTGGCGAAACAGAGGTTATGGCTGCCAAGGGAAAAAGAGCAGACTTCTGGGCCAGAGTGGGTGATAAGGTATGAGGAGTCTTTTCTCTACGCATGTGGATGGCGCTGACAACTGAAAACAGGACAAGGCAATTGCTGCGTTCGAGGACGTTTTCGAAAAGACTGGTATCCTGGGCACTAAGATTGACTTGGTTCTGGCCATAATACGTATGGGTCTCTTCTACGGAGACAAGGCGCTGGTCCAGAAACATATTGAGCGAGCCAAGACTCTGGTTGAATCCGGTGGTGACTGGGATCGCCGAAATCGCCTCAAGGCCTACGAAGGCCTTCACCTCCTCACCGTCCGATCCTACAACCTCGCCGCACCTCTTCTTCTCGACTCCCTCTCTACATTTACCAGCTACGAACTCTGCACTTACTCCAACCTTGTTGTCTACTCTGTTCTTGCTGGCTCTGTATCTCTGAAGCGCGTTGACTTCAAGTCAAAGGTTGTAGACGCACCCGAGATCAAAGCTATAATGGGTGACGGAGAGGACAAGCTGATGGCGCTGAGCGGTGCTCTGAGTGCCGGCCCTGGCGCAGACGATACTACTGGCGACAAGGCACCGCAGGCTGTCTCTACGACAGCCGTCAACCTGACGACCTTGGGATCAAGTACTGAGCAGCCCGAGGCCGAGATGGCGATTGACTTTAGCCCTCTGGCACTCTTGGTCAGCAGTCTGTACAATGGGAACTACAAGACCTTCTTCCAGTCTCTCGCCTCGGTCGAGGAGCAGTTCCTCAACCAGGACCGTTATTTGCACGAGCACAAGAGCTGGTTCATTCGCGAGATGAGGCTGCGGGCATACCAACAGCTCCTCCAAAGCTACAGAGTTGTCGGCTTGGAAAGCATGGCCAACGACTTTGGAGTCACAGTTGACTTTCTTGACCGGTACGTCGTAGCTTGGTGTACGTAAACTGCACCACAGGAAATAAGCTAACCCTGGATGACAGCGATCTTGCCCGATTCATTGCCGCCGGCCGTATCCCCTGCACCATTGACCGCGTCACCGGTAAGGGTGTGATTGAAACCAATCGACCAGATGACAAGAACAAACAGTACCAGGACGTTGTTCGTCAAGGCGATCAGCTGATTACAAAGCTGCAGAAGTACGGTCAAGCTGTCAGATTGAGGGGCAGCGAGAGGGCATAGACGGGGCGATTAACTGGATTGGAAGAGGATTGGTTGACTAGAGGTTTATTGGCGTACACTGTGCCATATAGGACGGAGTTTCTGAGCCCGACTGAACTGATACAGAAGGGGAAGAATAGGGCAAATATGTCACTAGCTGCTGTATGAATATAAATCAAGATTTCTTTGGTAAGCTGCATGCAACATGTACGCACAGCACTAAAAATTTGTGTACACAGCCCGAATTTCGTTCCCCGGACAATAAATAGTATGTACATTTCTTTTCAATGCCCATCGGATCATTCTTTTGATTAAAACCATCAGTTGACCAGAGAAAGTATCAGGCTTTCCCGACAAAAGTCCAGAAACGTATCCGCGATGACATTTGGGCAGGAGATCTCAAAAGAACTCGGATCCAGCAAAGTCGAAAGGCACACTCTTGTTACCCGGCCACAACCACTCTGCTTCTTCCCGTTCAACATGGCCCTCAAACAGAATCAGTACACCTGGCACTCCAGCCAACCGACGCACCGTCTGCGCAGTAATCCACGACGATTTCATCCACGCCTCCCTTGACGGGACTCATCCCGCCGAGGTTAGACTCGGACGCGTTCACCAGTGCCCTGGGAAAATGTGCCCCCCTGCGAGGCAACTTGGTGATGGACGGGACGGTATCTCCTGTCAATGACTGCACAAGGCCCGGTACGGTTGGTGTAGTTGAATTTGCAAAAGTTCTATTGTATGCGATTCTCTAGTTGCCCGAGTTGGTAATTAGAAAGTACCCCAAGACAGTCAATCGGGCTGAGATATCTGGCTGATGCGGTCCTCGGGATCCGTTTATTCATATGGTAGTTTATATATAACAAAAAAAACAAGATCCGAGGTCTTGCCACCTCTAGCAAAATGCAGTGCGAGAATTTCCAAGTGCAACTTGTAAATCAAGCCCAAATCAGTGTGTCCCAACTAACCCTCGAATGCTATCCTGAGCCCCTTTGTATTCTTTGTGCCAAATATAACTCTCCATCTACGCTTTTCTTCTTTTTTCGACTCGCTCACATTAAGCGTTTACCTGTACTTGTCCATAAACTCCTTGTGAAACTTGACAATACCAGCAACCCATTCTGTACCAGGCGCAAGGAAAGTAGTTCGGAAGTGGAGCGAGCCCTCCTCCTGACCGAAGCCAGACCCAGGAACAACACAGACACCTGTGGCCTCGAGCAATTTCAGGCAGTAGAATTCGTCGGCGGTGCGCTTTTCGGCGGCGGCGGCTTCGTGAGCCTTTGCAGGTAACTGGACGGTGGGGAAGAGGTACATGGCACCTTGGGGCTCAGCGCATTGGACACCTTCCATCTGGCTGAAGGCTTTGTGGAGGGCGGAAGCGCGCTCGCGGAGTCCCTCATGGATGCCAGAGTACTCCTGGCTGTAGAGCTCGTATGACGGCTCACCAGGCCTGGGTGGGTTCACCATGAGCTCGACGAGGCACTGGCCGATGACGGGAGCGCAGAGCATAATGGACACAAACTTGTAGATTTGGGCCTCAACCTCGGGATCAAAGCCAACAAGCTCAAAGTAGCCGCCCCGATGGCCGCACTCGCCAACCATGCCCTTCGAAATGCTGTGAAGTGAAGCAAGCTCGACACCATCGTATTTGCCGGGGTTCTCCTTTTGCAACTTGCGCAGAACGCCCTTGAAGCTGTGGAATTGGCCAATGAAGACGTTGGTCTGGTACACCTCATCGGCCATGATGACGAGGTTCTCCTGTTGAGCAAAGTCGATTACGGACCTAACGTCCTCCTCGGAGAGGGAAGCACCAGTGGGATTGCCAGGGTTGATAATGACAATGCAGCGGACATCGAGACCGTCGGCCTTGCCCTTTTCGTAGGCGGCCTTGATGGTTTCAAAGCTGGTCCCCCAAGCCTTGGACTCATCGAGGTAGTATGGAACGGCTTGGGCGTCCAGAAGGGACAGAGTGGCGCTGTAAAGAGGGTATTGAGGAATGGGAATCATGATACCCGACTTCTTGTCGGCGCAAATGACGTGGAGAAGAGTGTTGACACCAGATGAGGCGCCAGTCGAGAGGTAGATCTTGGAAGGATCAGCAGGAAAGCCATCGCGACCTGCCGAGTGTTAGTATTTTCCACTCTCTGACCGGTCGTGCTGGCAGAGTCCCGGCAAGCGGTGATTGGAGCCGGAAACCAGAACAATTGGTAAAAAAAGGGCAAGTTATAAAGTCAGTGGGAAAAATGACTTACGCTCCAGGAAAGCAGCAATGCTCTCCTTGATAGCAGGGGCGCCAGCACTGGCACTGTATGCACCAACAGAGCCGACCTGCTTTAGCAACCATTTGGCACGCTCAATAACATCAGTCTTGTAGCCAAGACCATTGATCAAAACATCCTCCTTCTTGAGAAGTTCAGGGTTCTCCAGCAAGCTCAGAACTTGCCTGAAAAAGGTAATCGGTTTCTGGTCGAGCTGCTGGGGGTTTCCGATGTTGGCCGAGATGACCTGATCAAAGGGCAGGTTGGTGTCACCGTCCTTGAGGCGGGCACGGTACTCTTCAGACTTGACGGCGAGCTCGCCACGAAC